CCAAAAGTAACCTAATACGTAAATTCTAAATTTTATGTGGACCAAAAAAATTGAATTGGAAATTCAAAACCTTTCCAGAAAAAAGGGCCAGGAGCTGGGCATGGTGGCACAAGCAAGAGGATCACCACAAGTTCAAGGCCAGCCTGGGCTACATAGTGAACTCAATCAAGGCCCGCCTGAATTACATAGCAAGACCCTGTCTCCAAAAAAGAAAAAAGTATCTATGCTAAATTTACAGCAAAAATACTATGGTTATTTCTACTCAACAGTCTAACAGATATCTTGGCCAGTGGATTAGGTGAAAAGTTACAAGGATTGGAAAATAAGAAAAAAACTATTATTGTTTGAATATGCTTAATCCCAAATGTAAAACTTCCAAAGAACAAAAAAGGGGTTGGGGATTTAGCTCAGCGGCAAAAGCACCTGCCTGGCAAGCACAAGGTCGTGAGTTCGGTTTCCGATACCGGAGAAAAACCAAAAAAAAAAAAAAAAGAACAACAAAAAAAATTATTAAAATATGTAGACTTAGCAAACTTGCCTTACAGAAAGTTTAATGTATTTCTATGCAATATAATAATTAGAATATAAAACTAATAGCTTGTGGGTCAAAACCTAGCCCTGTGGTTTTTTGGTAAAGGATCTCCTGGGCCATACCGTATCTGTTCTGCCTACTATCTTTCACACTACAACAGCAGAGCTGAGCAGCTACCATAGACTGTATGGCTAACAAAAAGCCTAAGATTATCTGCCCTCCACAGAAAAGCCTACTGTCTTCTGCACATGCACTAACATCAAGATTAAATACATATATGGAGCTGAGTCTGGTGGCACACGCCTGTAATCCCAGCACTTGGGAGGCTGAGGCAGAAGGATCGCTGTGAGTTTGAGACCAGCCTGGGTTACAAAGTCAGCTTAAGGCCAGCCTGAACTACACAGAAAGACCCTGTTTCAAAAAGACAAAAATAAATAAATAAATATAATAAATATATATACCAACTCTGCCCAAAAATGGATACACACTTGAGGAAAAGAAAAACTTGTAAAAATATTTTAGTAGTATATTTATTGAAAAAGTATAATGAGGGCTGGGGATTTAGCTCAGCGGCAAAAAGCGCCTGCCTGGCAAGTGCAAGGTCGTGAGTTCGGTTCCTGGTACCGGAGAAAACCGAAAAAAAAAAAAAAAAAAAAGTACAATGAGATTAATACAAGTTACCTTTGGCCTCTGCAAAGAGGTGCTCAAAGTGGTGTCCGTCAGCTTCCAGACATTTATTAGTATGGCGAACTGCTGCTTGGGCAACCTTGGTCATTGAGATTGCTGCACATGCATTTTCGTAGTATAGTGGGTTTTCTGTGATACACAATATCCTCTAAGGTACCCCATATGAAGGGAACACCATCTGTTGTAAAAACTGTACTATTTTTCTTTTCTTGAAGTGTGTATACATTTGTTTTGGTGGACTCCATATAAGCCTTAAGATCTCTATGTATAAAACCATACACATTACTAAGAAGCAAAGAACTGAAATAACACAGAAAGGTACACCACGTACACTAACTGGGCAAGGCAGTACTGTAGTGATGCATGTTCTTCCCAAACTGACCTACAGATTCAATACCATCTCAATGAAAAACCAGAGGTTTATTTCTGAAAAGTGATAGCTGACTCTCAAATTTATGGGAAATTCACAGGGCCAAGAATTGCCAAGATAATTCTCAAGAGGAAGAAATGTACTATATGTATATACTATAGGTATCAAGACTTAAGAGTATATAAACCTCCAACTATAGCACAAAGACAAACAGGACAATGGAACAGAACAGAATCCAGAAACAGGCTTATTACAATATATGGAGGAAAGAGTAATCTTTGCAAAGGCTGGAAGAATTTATATATATATAAATATATATAGCCAAAAAACACAAACCAAGAGAATGACCTCACCAGGCATGGTTGCGCACATCTATAATCCCAGCACTCAAGAAGCTGAGGCAGGAGAATTCTCATGAGTTCGAGATCAGCATGGACTACAAAGTTTAAGGCTGGCCTGAGTCATAAGGAAATCCTATCTCAAAAAAAAAAAGAATGACCTCCATCCCACAACACACACAAAAACCTAGTCTAGATGGACTGTAAAAGATGAACCAACAAAGGTTAAAATGAAGTAGCACAGGAGAACATTACCATGATCCTAAATTAAAGATTTACTAAATAGGAAACAAGCATAAAGCATAAATTCCTAAAATGAATTTCATCAAAATAGATTATCTTTTTATCAAAAGATACCATAGGAGAGTAAAAAGGCAAGCCACAGTCTGAGGGAAGATTCTTATATTTATATCTAGCAGAGAACTAATATCCAAAGTATGTAAAGACTACTGGAGTCTAATACACAATAAATAAAGTTTACAAAAGCCTTTAAAAGCACACTTCACAAGAGCTGTTCAAGTGTCTAATACAGGTTCAACAACAGATACTAAAATCTGTTACATTATTATAATATCAGATTATTATTACATTTTATTATAATAATGTAAGGGTAGTTTCTCATTCAAACATCGATTAATATATTTTACACTTTAATAAAATAAAGGAGAATACCATAGGATTGCCTTAATATCTATAATAAAAACATATATGGATGCTCCACTTCCTTGTGTAAAAAGGGAAAGTATTTGCATATAACCTACATTACAGTGATGGTGATACCTTTACAGACCAAGTACCCAAACTGCACCCCCAAACCCACTTATTCATCTCAAAGTGACAACACTGCAATTAGATCTGAGGATTTAGTTCAGAAAAAAACTTTAACATTTTTGTCTTAAAACACACATGCCATAGGTTCACCACCACTGACAAAAATATCCTTTCATGTACTTTGTTTTTTAAATGTTGTGTATGTATGTATGTATGTATTTTTTTAGACAGGGTCTTGTTATGCCGTTCAGGCTGGCCTTGAGCTCCCAACGATCCTCCTGCCTCAGTCTCCTGAGTGCTGAGATTACAGGTATGCGCCACCACGCCTGGTTTTATTTTGGTTTTTCTGAGACAGGGTCTTGCTGTATATTCTAGACTGGCCTTGAAATCACTATGTAGTCCAGTCTTGCCACAAACTCATGGAGATCCTTCTACCTTAGCCTCCCAAGTGCTGGGATTACAGGCGTGTATAAGCACGCCCAGCAACTCTCTCTCAATTAAATCATCTCTTGATTACTTACAATGCTTAATACAAGGTAAGTATTACAAAAATGTTACATAAATAATTGTTTCACTTTATTTTTAAAGGAACAATGGCAAGAAAAAGTCTACACGTTCAGTACAGATGTCATTTTTGAGTCTTTCTGATGCATAGTTGGCTGAATCCATGGATATCTGGAAGGCTGACTGTACTTCACATTATTAGTCAAATGCAAATTAAATCCATAGTGTGATACCATTACATTCCCACCAGAATGACAGATTTTTTTTTTTTTATTTTTCTCCGGTACCGGGAACTGAACTCACGACCTTGCGCTTGCCAGGCAGGCGCTTTTGCCGCTGAGCTAAATCCCCAGCCCAAGAATGACAGATTTTTTAAACCGACACTATGAAGCACCTAAAACAATAGAAATCTTGCACAATGGCACAAACACTGGCAGTATTCACTAAAGTTAATATGCACGCTCTATGTCCCAGGAACTCTACCAGGCGGGCACTTAACAGAAGAACATGTTCGCATTAAAAGATAGGAAGGAGACTGTTTATAAAACAATACTCGTAATTATCCCAAAGTAAAACCACCCAAGTAACTCACATGCATCACCAATGGATGAACTGTCATATGTTCAGAGTTACTTACAGCAAAGAATGACCACTACATGCGAACAGTATGGATGAATGTGCCACAGACATACAACTGAGCAAAAGCCAGACATAAGTTTGTATTTTTTCATTTATATATAAAGTGCAAAAACAGTAAAACTAATCTTGCTGCTGGAGATCAGAACAGTGGTTAGTTTTCACTAAATGACTCGAAATAGGCAAAAGAGAATTGTGGAGTACTGCTAATAGTCTATACTTTTTATTTATTTACACGCTTATTTTTGAGACAGGGTCCTACTGTATTCTAGGCTGCTTTCAGACTCATGGCAATCCTCCTGCCTCAGCCTCCCAAGTGCTGAGATTCCAAGTGTTCGTCATCATACCTGGCTTATGGTGTTTTTTTCTTTTAAGTTCTGTACTTTTGATCTGTGTGGTAAATACCTGGCTGTGTTTACTTTGTAAAAAAGTTCATCAGATTTGTGCACTTTATATATAAAACAGCAAAGGAAAATTGAAGAGTGGGTAAGAAGAAAGGAGAAAAAAGGAGGGAGGGAGGGAGAAAAGGCAAGAGAAAGAATTGATAGTATTTGGGCAGAGATACAAGGTGATACATTTTTGTGACACATTTTTTTGGGCATGCAAGATTTACTGGAAAAGTAGAAATACTAGAAGAGACATCAACTAGCAGATTATGTTAACAATCCTGGCATCCAGGTCACCTGATAAATACACACTATACATGAGGGTGATGCTTGAGCTACAGCGATGGCAGGAGTAAGCATGAAGACAATATAAAGGAGACTGACAGGTCTTGCTCACTAGACCTTGGCTAGACAAGAAACAGAAGAGAAAGGGTCAACGTTTCCTCTGAGATTTTCAGTCTGGGTGACAGGGATGGCACTGAAGACAAGAACACAAATGACTCAAGTGTGTTAAGACTGAGGGACCAAACCAAGGCGTCCACAGAGGTAGGCTGAGGGACTGTCAGGAAGAACTTGCCAGTCCCATCACTAGTACCGGACAATTATTAGTTGAAAATTAGCTCCAACTCTACAGGTTTCATCATCTGAAGAATTAAGGACTGCAATCAACTCAGTTAGTGAGATCAGAAGTAAAACACGCTATACAAGTTTGCCCACTCGCAGCTCACGATTGCCCTTTACACCTGGGGAGCCCGCCAGCACCCTGTTCTACTCACTCTGGCTTGCCGCTTCTTCACTTCAGCCCTGAGCTTGTCTCGCAGGTGCCTCAGTTCACGAATCTTGTTTCCAGGAGTACTTTCCTTAGCTTGAGCTCTCTGTAGCTCTTCAGAGCTCTTACAAAATCTCTTCATTTGAGCCTCTAGTCCTTCCAAGTGAGCTAAAACACCTAAGGAAAAGTAAAAAGGGAACTTCACAAGAAGCACGTCAAGAAGAAACAGGTAGGTGTCTTTTTCCAGAACTCTGTGGCCAGCTGAATTCTTCAGATATATGCCACAATTATAAAACCAGAGGATCTGACAAAGTCAAAGATGATCAACCTTTTAGGTTGAACACTGACATAAGAACTGTGTCTGATTTGTTTTTCCTTTTTTGTTTGTTTTGGTTTGGTTTTTTAGATAGAGTCTTGCTCTGTAGTTCAGGCTGGCCTCAAACTCGTGGTGATGCTCCTGCCTCAGCCTCCTGAATGCCACTTAGCCAGGATAGTTTTCAAAGAGGACAAGAGAAAGAACCTGATTTGTCTACCACATACTTTCTAGGCAGGAGTACTTTAATCAGGCCTACAGTTTATCACAAAGGCACATATCTAGTGTGGAAAGAGTGATATAGTGCTTTAACACAATTAGATGAAATCTCCCTTACAAAAATTCTACACTTCTATCAAAGTTCAATTAGATTTCAAAAGTATCAAAGAACAAGTGAGATAGAGTATGCAAAAAACAAGTGAGACAGAGTATGTAAAACCACATATATTGGGGCTGTGGATTTAGCTCAGCGGCACAGCGCCTGCCTGGCAAGCGCAAGGTCGTGAGTTCGATCCCCCTTACTGGAAAAAAACCCAAAAAAACAGAAACAAAACAACAACAAAAAAACCCACTTATATCATCATTTTTCTTATCATTACTCAGATTCCTATCTCGTGCATTCTCAGGGACTTCGGACCCTCAGTTAACCCCGTTCTCTGCTCTATCCATTTCCTTTCAGCCGAATCCTTCCACATTATAAACTCAATACCATAAAAAGAAAGCTGAAATTACTAACCAAGGAGCTAAAATCAGTATGTGTAACAGCTACATGTTCAACTATTGTTTGGGAGAGACAATACCGGGGCTACTGAATAATCCTTGGACTGGTCTAGGTCTGTTGATGATCCAAAACTTGCACCTCATTTACTTTAAAAGAAACAAAATTAAGTCATACTAGAGAATGGATTACTCCTGACAGCAGCATGATTTAAAATGTCTGTTTATTTTGTTGTTGTTTTGAGGTACTGGGGGTTGAACTGAGGGCCTTCACACTAAAATACACCTCCAGCCCTTCTTAAGTTTTGAGACTGGATCTCAATAAACCGCTAAATTGCCTAAACTTGCAATCCCCCTGGCTCAGCCTCCCAGAACACTGGAATTACAGGCTTCTGCCACCGTGCCCCGATTGGGCTGTCTTGTGAGATGGGGTCTTAACTGTGTTGCCCAGGCTGGCCTCAAACTCGAGACCCTCCATGTCTGCCTCCTGAGGACCTGGGGTTACAGTCATTACGCCCAGCTGTAACGTTTTTAATACATAAAGCCACCCAATTTAGTTTTCGTTTTGAGGCAACAATAAATTCTAACCCATATGCTGGGTCACCTCTTTTAGTTTCGCCGTCTTGACGTACAGTTTTCGCTTGCTCCATCTCCTCCTCCCTGTGACGCGTTCCAGGAACCTAGATGTCCTTCGCGGTAAAAGAACAAGGGGAACAGTCATATCCACTCCCTTTTAGACAAACCCAGACAGACTCGGGCGCGCCCACCGGGCCGGGATAACTCCAAGCGTCCCCGCGGGCACGTCCCTCGCTGACCCGGGAGCGCCCGCGTCAGTGTCAGCTGTGCCCCCGCCTCCCTCCAGGCCAGCCGGGATTTCTTGCACACAGAAGAAACTTGAAAGGCCTCTCAGCTCTCCAACCTGGTCACGGGCCCGCCCGGGTCTCCCCTTCCCCTTACCTCTTTTCCCGCTCACTCTGGACACGGACGAGTTTCCCGCCGTCTAAACCTTCAAAAATCAATCCAATCCGTCCCAGAATGCCCTGCGCTCCCGCCGTACAAAAACATGGCGGCGTCCAGGGCCCCTCCCTGATCCCAGCATGCACCGCAGAGTCGACTCCATCGTTCGGATGATCAGGAAGATGGCGGCTTCTGGGGAGGAGCCCCAGATCTTGGTACAATACTTGGTGTTACGAAAAGATCTATCGCAGGCTCCGTTCTCCTGGCCAGCGGGCGCGTTGGTAGCACAAGCCTGTCACGCAGCCACTGCGGCCTTGCATCTTCACCGTGACCACCCACACACCGCAGCTTACCTCGGGGAACTGGAACGCATGCGCAAAGTGGTCCTCGAGGTGAGACACTAAAGGGAGAGGAGGGGCGCCGAGGGAGTCCAGACCGGAAGTGGGTGTGGGCTTGGGTCGGAAGCGTAAATTCATGGAGTCGGAGTGGGCTGAGATGGGGGAATTTCTAACTTTTTACATTTTGGAAAGGACTCTGGGACTTGAGCTGTGACCTAGGAAGCCTTTTCTTACGCAGGAGATGAGTCTGTGAAGTGTGGATGTCAGACTTGTTACTAAAGTTCACCGGAAACTGGTGGCCCCTGCGTCCCTCTGTAGATACCAGGGAGGACGTAGGCTGGTGGCTGGCATCGAAGTACTGCCTCCCGGGGAGCCACCGCGCAAGGCAGCGGAAAATAAACCGATGCATTTACTTGGATGTGACACTACCTTGTTTGAAAGTAAATATTTAAATGAATAATAAATCCCTAGTGTACCTAAAGTCAAAAATACAAAAAACGTCAAAAATACCAGACACCAAATGTGTAAATCGGCACATTTTAAAAAATAGCCGTAATACCCTTTTTGCATTTGACCAAACAGATCTTACCCTCGGACTCTCTTGAGTCTATTGCTAGAAATCTTAGGAGAATAAGCAGCTGCAACCGTAGAGTTTTGCACAAGGATATTCATAGGAGAACTTCGTACTGGTTAGAAAAAAAAGTGGAAGTGGGGCGTGGTGGCACACGCCTGTGAGCCCAGCACTTGGGAGGCTGAGACAGAAGGATCACCAGGAGTTCCGGACCAACTTGCACTACATAGCGAAACCCAGTCTCAAAAAAAAAAGTGGAAATATTAAATTTCCAATACTAGGGATTGGTTAAATTAATCTATGCCCTTATGGTATATCTTTTTTTGTTGTTGATGGGGTTAATACTAGGGCTCGAATTCAGCTTTGGGCATGCTAGGTGAGCACTCTTACCACTAAGGTACAACTCCCAGCCCTTATATTATTCCGCGGCTAGCAGAAATCATGTTTTTTAAAGCATAGTAGCATAGAAGAGTGCTCATGATATGCTACTAATTAAGTTATATTCTATAACAATAATTTAAATTTTGAAAGGGAAAGCTAAAAAATACATCTAAGTATTAACTAGTAGGTGGTAGAATTTGAGTTATTATGCTTCTCTGTATTTTTAAATGCTCCACATCAAGTACATACGTTATAATGAGAAAAAAAATGCTTTAAAAATAAATCACTGACTGGGCATGGTGGTGTACGCCTGTAATCCCAGCACTTGGGAGGCTGAGGCAGAAGGATCACTGTGAGTTTGAGGTCATCCTGGGCTACCTAGTTCAAGGACAGCCTGGACTATGTAGTGAGACCCTGTCTCCAAAACAAAATAAATCACTGCCTTGTAGTGGAAGGGTGGGGTAATCCCTTCACAGTTGGTTGGCAAAAATAGAGTAATACAAGAGAAATATGCTGTTGGGTAGTAAACCATCAACCAGTAATCTGTGAAATGTCTTGAGAATCTGTGAGTGGACGGAAAAGAAGCAGATAGCTTTTTGTTTAGAATTTTTTTATGTGAAGAAATTACCTGGTTCAGGACTCTCCTTTTCACCCAGCTAGTCCCCTTTTGGCTTAAGGCATCATATTACAGTGAGGCATGCATACTCATGTTGATAGCAGCACAACTCATAATAGGTAAACCTTGCAAGAGACATATGTCTGTAAACAGATGGATGGCTAAATAAACTGTTACTTACAGAGCGCTACTCTGCTCTAAAGAAGGATTAACCTAAGTCATTTGTAGGAAAGGGATGCTCCTTGAGTGAAATAAATCAGACGCACATGCCTACGTATCCCATGGTTTCTCTTATATGAGAAACCCAAAGAGATAAAGATAGGGAACAGGGGAACAGACCTTTTGCAACTGGAAAGGGGGCAAAGAGATGGAGAGAGGAGGAAAGGGGGTGAGGAGGGGAAGTAGAAAGAATTAAGGTGTGTTTTGTACATGAATCAACTCCCACAACGAATGAAATCATTGTGTCCTGCAAACATGTACTAGTAAAAACAAACCTTTCCAGAATTGAGGTTATTAACAAACAAACAAAAACAACAACAACTCCCATTTTCTCAGGTGAGATAGCTGAAGGCCACAGAGAATTGAAAGACAGGTGATGATGCTGAGCTCTTGGCCCTGACTTTGGAGTCACAGCTGATCACGCTGAGAGCTGCCGCAGGCATGAAGGCCAGTGAATATCAGGCAGCACCAAGCTTGACTGTCATTTCACTGACTCTTTATTACTGTGAGGAAACACTGTCTTCCCTCTTTCACAAAAGGGAAACAGAAGCACTGCTACATCACATAAACCATCAAAGCTCACGCAGGCACTAGGCGGTAGAGCAAGAGTTTGAGTCCAGCAGTTCGATTCCACAGCTCACTCGCCCCGCTGAACTGAACTATGCTGTTGCTCAGTGCGGTGGGGCGGGTGTTAACGAGTCCAGCAGTCAGGGGTTAGGACACTGAGGCCAATCCCAGAATCCTGCGACTTAATAAGAGAAGCCTCTAGTTACCTTCATAGACAAAAAATATATCTTATGTAAAATAACACACTAAGTGTCTTTATTTTCTAAATCACGAATCCAATGCTTCCTGCAGTGGGATTCAGCATGGGTTCCTGGGCGTGGGTGATAAGGATGACCCAGAAATAATTTCAAAAGGATGATAAAGAATAGTTTGTTCTCCCGTTAGTAAGAAAATGGGAGCCTTCCCAGCAGAAGGCAAACCTTTCTGGGTGAGCCCGGTGGAATGAGAGGGAAGGCAGAGGTGCATGTTATTTTAGAAATCCTTCTAGCAGTCAGCTCTTAAAATCAGAATGACAGATGGATTAGGGATGGCTGTTGTGGGTATCAACTAAAAGAACTAAAAATGTCTGAAACATCATTGCTGACAATGCATACCTCTCAACAGGAAAGAGAAAAGTCTCCCTTTTTTAAACAGGACTGTTAAGCCTCTTCCTCTCTCCCATCTCCTCCCAGTCCTTCCAAACCACTTAGCAAAGATCCTACAGAGGGTGAATCACAAACCAGGGAATGAAATTGCTGCTCTGCAGTGCCTTTGGGGAAGCTCTTCCTTTTCCTCCAGTTTCAGTTAAGAAAAGCCTCCCCCCCCCCCGCCCCCCGACCCTTTGTGGCTGTTAACGCGTCTAGATGGGCTGTTGAGTCTCTGTTGTGTTCTGCCCCTGTCAGGCCCCAGATGAGACCACCTTAAAGGAGTTGGCTGAGACCCTGCAACAGAAGAACATCGACCACACGCTGTGGCTTGAGCAGCCAGAGAATATTGCCACTTGCATTGCACTCCGGCCCTACCCCAAGGAAGAAGTGAACCAGTATTTGAAGAAGTTCCGATTGTTCAAAGGACCGCTGCTGGCATAGATGACTGTACCCAACATTGGAATGCCTGCACCCCTAAGCTTCATGTACCCCTTTCAGTGTCAGCTGGTCTTCGCTTCCAGTTATAATGACTTCTTGAGAGTCAAACTCAAATGATCAAATTAAAGTTGTCATTAATAAGTACTTACTATTAATAATAGTATTACATTCAAGTGAGGGAGTGGGCGAATAGAAATATTATCTATGAGTTGTTGCCTAGATAGATTTTGTTTGATTACAGCATGGGGATCAAGAGAACCCTTTTTTTTTTTTTTTGTTAAAAATAATGAAGGCCTTCTGATTACCCTGGTTTAAAACTTTACCTTTGGGTTCCTTATTTCTTATCATATCTCATTATCATAGTTCACGGAATCTTAGACAACATAACCTTTAAGATATGGCATTATTCGTATATCAGGGAAAAATGCTACTAATTACACTGAGACATACAAATTGACTATGTGTTTCAAAATCAAAGATGTTTAAAAATTATGTATATAGTGGCCAGGGATATAGCTCAGTGGCTCAGCACTTGCCTGGCAAGTGTGAGGTCCTTCATTTGATTCCTGGTACCAAAAAAAAATTATATATATATATATATATATATATATACAAAAAATTATGTATATATACACATATATCTATATATATGTACTTTTTTAGAATGAAATGTGTACAGTACAGCTGTTTTGATTTTTATTGTTTTTATTTTTGTGTAATTCATGTGCTTCCACCCTGTGTCAGGCTCACATTTTGCTCTCAGGGCAGCCCTCTGCTCTGCTCACCTACAGTGTATCTGGTACCAGTGCCAGATGCCCTGCCACCAGCTATCTATCAGTAGGAGCTACGAGCTTCTGCATAGGGTAGGTTATTACTTGCTTGTGGTATAATGCTAGAACTCCTTACTTTAGCCATGAGGCATTTATATTTCCTGCTGCTTCGGGTGAATTATCTATTCTCTTATCCAAATGTGATGTTTCAACAAAGTCACTCCAACTGCTATCCTCCAGTCTCTGCCTGGGAGTAGAATGTTGCTATTCTTACTCTCCCTTTCCTGCTTCTGGACTCAAATGATTTCCAGTTCAAGCGCTGTCATTTTTATAAAGTTTTACCTGAAGCTGGGCATGGTGGCACACTCCTGAAATCACAACACTCAGAAGGCTGAGGCAGGACAATCGCTGTGAGTTCACAGTCAGCCTGGGCTCCGTAGTGAGTTTGGGGCCAGCCTGAACTACATAGCGAGACCCTGTCTCAAAAAACTAAAAAAAAAAAAAAAAAAAAAAAAAAAAACTGACAAAGCAAAAACAAAAGTCTGTTTCTTTAAAGTTTTACCCAGCCAAAAATGATTATTCCCCTCTGAATGTTTGTAATACTGCACAGTGTTTAAAATATATCTATGAACGTTTGGACACATCTACAGAAATTGCTTTGTGGGGTAATCTGTTCAGTGGATACCTATTGCATATTCACTGTGGCAGGCTATAAGAGCTGAAAATATTAAAATGAGGGTATCGGTCACTCCTGAGACAGTGAAACTCCTGAGATAATGGGCCTATCAAGAGAAAAGGTTTATCTTGGCTCAGCTTTGGAGATCCCAGTCAATCAGAGCTCACTACTTCGGGTCTGTGGTGGCTCCCAGGTGGCCAAGGTGGGCAACGTGGAAGCAAAGAGAACAAGGAAGAGGCCAGGCTCTCATGCTTGCATCTGGGGAAACGCCCCAGTGACTAAAGACCTCCTCCCAACCCCTCCAGAGGTTGAACCACATCCCAATAGAGCCCAAGGCTTTGACAGGTGACCTCTAGGCAATACTTATCCAAGCCGTAGTGATGAGTAAAACAATTTCTGTCCTCAACACCTAAGCATTTAATGGAAGGGCAGATAATTACCAAGAGAAGTGTGTGATCCTTAATGCCTTTCTACCAAGCTACTAGACACTAGGTGTTTCTTTTAAAAGACATGGTCACCAGCTGGGTATGGTAGTGCACAACCCTAATCCCAACATTCAGCAGCCTGAAGCAGGAGACTTGTGAGTTCAAGGCCAGCCTGGATTATATACCAAGATGGTGAGAGAAAGAGAGGAATTTAGGAGAGTGGATGGGGGTCTCCCAAGAATAACTGGAGGCAGAGCCAACCAAGAAGCCAAGTGAACAGAGTTTCAAAAGGGTGAGGGCATCTGGGCATGGTGGCACATGCCTGTAATTAATCCCAGCACTCAGGAGGCTGAGGCAGGAGGATCCCCATGAGCTCGAGGCTAGCCTGGCCTATATAAACAAGTTCAAGGCCAGCCTCCACTATATAGTGAGACCCTGTCTCAAAAAACAAAAATAAAAACAAACAAAAAAAAGTAAGACCAATATAGAATTTCAGTAAATAAGAACTGGAAACATTTATTTAATAATTGGGAATGTGTTGTCAAATTAAGTGAAAGAAATTTAAATAGCATAATGAGGGTGGAAATCAGATTGTAGTCTATTGAGACAAGAGTGGGAAGGGAGGTAGAAGTGGAGACTATCCTTCAAGAAGTTTGAAAGAGAAGAGAGGAGATGGTGATTGAATTTCAGAAGGCAGAAAGGTGAATTCTAGGTCCCATAGGGGAATTTTGTTGGATGCTTGAGCAAGTTGGAGGGTGAGGAGGAGGATAATGAGAGATGACAGTTGCTAACTGGAATAACCAATGAAGGCAGTACAGAGAAAATGAGAAGAGATGGGGTCAAGGGCCTCAATAAGGGCTGGACTTGAACTGAGAGAGAAGGGAAACTTCTCGAGTCTGGAGAAAAGGCAGTGGGGAAGGTACAGATACACACAAACTTGTAGATAGGAGGAAGAAGGTTGATGCTGACTACACATGATGACTTTTCTCTTATGAAACAGGAGGCATGTAATTCTTTGTAACATCGAAGGTACTTACTGAGCACTGCAGTAGATGGCGTAACAGAGTGGCTGGAGCTCAGCCTGCTATTGAACTGCTTGAAACCAGCTTTGGCTCTCATGCTTTGAAGCTCTGTGAATCTGGGAAAGGTGCTTAATTTCTCTGACACCCAGGTCCCTCATCTGTATAACAGGGATTTACAGTGGTGCTATGTGGGTTAAATGTGATTATAGGTAAAAGTCCTATAAAACAGCACCCAGGCACTTGGGACTAGAGCCTAAGCATAGGAAGTTATGTGAGACACAGCCTCAAACAGCTCTTAGCTGAAGAACTCAGTTATTTAACTCCCTTTCTGCTGTCTGGGAGTGGTGCCATCCAAGAATCATCACGCATTCCCTGATATTTCCCTTCAAGCCAACTAGGGAAATGTTTCCAAATGGCACAACATTTTTGCATTTCTTTTGTTGTTGTTAGTTCTGAATTCTTCGGTAAAACTTAGTGATAAAACCAGAAAAAGATGAGTGTATTAGTTAGTTTGCCTGTTGCTGGACACTACACTCACCACTCACAGAGGAGAGGTTTACTTTAGCTTGTGGTTTAAGGAGATTCAGTCCATGGTAGGCTGACTCCAAGGCTGGAACATCACAGTGGAAGGGCATGGTGAAGCAAAGCTGCTCAGTTCATGGTGGCTTGGGGAACAGCAGCAGAGAGGAGCAGGAAGGGATCAAAGATAGTCCACAGGTCACATCTACATGGTTAGCCCAGACACACCCAGGAGCATCCTGTACTAATCTGGAGGTGTTTCTTAACCTAATGAAGTTGACATGTCAGGATTAATGTCTGCATAGCTGGGAGACTGTCACTCAATCAGAACCCTAACACAGAGATCTGAGCAAAAATAGCACAAACTTCAGCCCAAGTGGGGGAAAGGATGGGTAGTCATGTGCTGGTCCCAAAAAAGAGTAAGGTAGGAGCAGAGAGCACCAGATTCCTTATTAGTATCTACTTAGACTATTAACAATGTACGGTCTGGTCCCTTAGATCAGCATCACTCAGTACTTATTAGAAATGCCAATTCTCAGGCCCAACTGTACACTCACTTGCATCAGAAATTTGGTGCTACCTAGAGGCAGCTGGGCCCTGAGGGGCAGCCAGCCTAAAAGGTAAATAACAACTTTGTGCAACTAAAATGAACATGTTATGAGTGTGTGCAGTGTGTTCCCAGGAAGGAGTCAACCTGGAGAGCAGGCATCTGGCTCTAAGTACTCTTGTATCTGGTTACAAAAACGATACATTCTCCAATGGAGCGCACATTGGTAAGTTTCTTAAATGTAAAAAAGCTTCTCATCAACGAAGTGTGTCTATACTACTCAATTCTGGCAATTCTGCATCTTGTCTCAGAGTTTAGAGATTTGGAAAGGATTTGATCTGCTCAACATTAAAATTAGTAGCAGGACTAGGATTAAAAACCAGGTCTTTCGTTGTTTGTTTTGAGACAGGGTCTTGCTATATAGTTAAAGCTGGGCTTGAATTTGAAATCCTCCTGCCTCAATCTCTCGAGTGCTGGGATTATAGGCATGTGTCATCATGCCCAGTTTTGTCATTTCAGTTTTTTACTCTGTCCTAGTTGGTTGCTTATCTGGTCTTCCCTCATCTAGATGCTGGTTGGAGGGTGGAAGGGGATGTGTGTAGTTCACACACAGGAAAGCTGTAGCTCCCATTTGAAACTGGTTGACAGTCTGGATCATAAATCAGCCCCCCGTGACTAAGTTGTGTGACTTGGCACACTAGGGTCCAATTATCACTGGATGAGCTGGCAGAAGTTCGTCTCTGAACTTGCAAAGTGAGGATCAAAGCCTCAGCAACTGTTTCTCTTGACCCTGTCAGAACCAGAGGGCCTCCCTAGAGGGACAGGTGAAAAACTGCCCATTTTAATGTCTAGTGAATACAACTCGCCCTAGACTCAATCCTGTCTTGTAGTGCGCACTTCCTCCTGCTTTCTGGGAAAAAGTTGGCAGTAGGGAGCCACTGTTACAGGAAGGTGTGAGTGTGGAAAATGGCCTGAGAACTATCATCGGAGACTACACTTGCCTCTTGAGTAGTAGCTGCCTTCCAGGGTCAAGCTCACCACAACCGCAGCTTCTCCTTCTCAAGTTCCAGATGTGGTGGGATCTGACTGTGGTATCAGGTTGGGTTTTAGCTGTGAAGGTCTTGCAAAGGCAAAATAAGTGGCATTCAACTTCTGAACCGTGGTTCTTGAGAAATGAGACAAAACATCA